AAGAACAAAAAGACTCCTAAGAGTTTTTTTTCTCCATTCTGGCAAGAGATCGATAAATATGATAAACTAAAAAAGGAAAAAGTGGTTGCTGAAGAGGGAAAATGCTAATGATTTTATTAATATCATAAATCTACAGATATTATGTGTAAGACTAGTACAAATTTAAATGTAAATATAATAGATACACAAATCCAAATAGAGACTTTAATAGAGGGAATGAATTAAAGAAAAAATACCAGTAATGAAACCATCATGCAATGGCATGAAAAGGCACTAAGACTTCATTCCACCAGGCCACCAGGCCTGGTGCATTTTACTCTCAGGGAGAGAAGGGAAGTCACAGATGTGGCAGCATCCACTTCCATAGAAACTGCAATCGATCAAGGAGCAAAGGACACACCCCCAGCTGGGGTAAACAGTGCAGCTGACTACATCAACTCCAATCTTCTCCATTGCCATAAAGAAGGGGGCCTGTGTTCCCACCCTTTCTTATCTCTGAACTACCTCAGCCTCACCATGCCACCTGCCTTCAGTCTATTGGAATCCATCTCAGTAACCAACCACTTCCCTCTGTGTTGGTTGTCTCCAGATCCCCAGCTTTCACAGTCAGCTTTGCTCTTCTGGATTCTAAGGTTCCATATTACTTCTGTAAAAGGACCTTAAGAGTATAAATAATGTTGCATATCCTCGATCTATTTTTTTAATGATTTATTTACTTATTTGAAAGAGTTACAGAGAGAATAAATTCTTCCTCCTTATACTGGTGAATTCCTACCAGCATAAAATCATGATACAATCTTTCTCATTTTCAGAAAACCATAGACAATAGACACGGGCAATTCGCAACATCATTTTTTCTGTGCTTTGAAGGAAATCTTGTTTTATAGGTATCTACATTCACTGTCTCCAATTCCTCTTTATTTATTTGTTTCCAGTCAGGTTTCGACCCACATGACTTCAATGAATTGCTCTCATCAAGATTGCCAGTGTCCTCTACATGTCAAATGCAGTAACTAATTTGTTCTTATCTTGCATGGTCCTTTTGTTACTTGGACTATTAACACCACTTGCCTCAGCTAATTACTGCTTTCTCCTGAATATGCTTTCTTCACTTGACTTCTAAAATACTCAGAACTTTTGAGTTTCTTCTTATAGCACCAATAAATTAAGTGTGCAGAATATTCTTCTCTCATTTTAAAAAATTTTACTTTTTATACAAGTTTCATGTGTTTCATATACACAGACTAGGTATATAGTGATACTTCCTTCCCTTCCAACCATGCTCTAACTCTTCTTCCTCCTTTCTCTCCCATTCTTACTCTTAATTTTCACAAAGATCTACTTTCAGTTTACTTAATTATCATAAGGTTAACCCTACAATAAGTAAAAGAGTTCAACAAGTAATATGAAAGAAAAAAAAAAAAAAACACTGTTCCTCAACAGAAGAGATAATGGTTGTAAACAATCATTGAATCTCAAAATGTCCGTTGCATTCCAATACATTACATTTTAGGTACTCAATTAGTTACTCATGATCAGGGAAAACATAAGATATGTATCTTTTTGTGACTAATATTTCACTAAGTATAATGATTTCTAGTTGCATCTGCTTTGTTGCAAAAGACAGGATTTCATTTTTTGACAACAGAGAAATACTCCATAGTGTACATTTACCATGATTTCTTTATCCAGTCTTCAGTTGAGAGATACCTGGATTGATTCCATATCTTAGCTATTGTAAATTGAGTTATACTGAACAGGGGGGGTACAGATAGCTCTTTCTTACACTGATCTCCTTTGATTTGGGTAAATTCTCAGGAGCAGGTTGGCTGGGCCATATGGTAGGTCTGTATTCAGATTTCTGAGATATCTTCACACTGTCTTCTACAATGGCTGCACCAGTGCCCATTCTTGCCAACAGTGGGTTAGGGTACATTTTCCCCCATATCCTCACCAGCATTTTTTGTTTTCTGATTTCTATACGAGAACCATTCTAACCAGGGTGAAATGAAACACCATTGTGGTTTGATTTGCATTTCTCCGATTGCTAGTGATCCTGAGCATTTTTTCAAGTGCCTTTTGGCCATTTTAATTTCCTCTCTTGGAAGATGCCTGTTCAAGTCCATCGCACATTTCTCAACTGGGTTGTTTTGTTGGTTGTTGTTGAATTTCTTCAGCTCTTTATAGATTCTGAAAGTTAACCCTTTTTTAGTTGTGTGGTTTGCTAATATTTTCTCCCATTCTGTTGGTTGCCTCTTCACTTTGATAAGTGTTCTTTTTTCAGTGCAGAAGCTTCTAAGCTTGATGTAATCCCATTTGTCAATTTTAATTTTGATTACCTATGCTTCTTGGGTTTTTTCCAAGAAGTCTTTGCCTATGCCAATGCCTTGCTGTTCTTCCAATGTTCTCCTCTATTACTTTGATGGCATCAGTTCATAGAGTTAGATACTTGATCCATTTTGAGTAGATTTTTGTGTAAGGTGTAATGTAGGGGTCAAGGTTCTTACTTCTGCATGTAGAGATCCAGTTTTCCTAGCACCATTTGTCAAAGAGGCTGTCCTTCATCCAGGGATTGATTTTAGAGAGACTGCACTTCCTCCAGTGATTGATTTTAGCTCCTTTGTCAAAAATGAGTTGGTTGTAGATGCATGGAATGTTTCTGGAGTTTCTATTCTGTTCCATTGTTCTACACATCTGTTTTTGCTCCAGTACCAGGGTGATTTGATTATAACTGTCTTGTAGTATGTCTTGAAATCTGGCATTGGGATACCTCTAGCTTTGTTTTTGTTGTATAAGATTGCTTTAGCTATTCAGGGTCTCATATTTCTATTTGAATTTTAGCATCACTTTGCTAGATCTGAGATAAATGCTGTTGTTATTTTGATTGTGATCTCATTAATCTGTAAATTGCTTTCAGTATTATGGACATTTAGATGATATTGAGTCTTCCAATACATAAATAAGGAAAATTTTTTTATTATTTATTCTCTTCTCTAACTACTCTATACCAGATTTCCCCACATGTTTATCCTTTTTAAAAAATATTTATTTGAAAGCCAGAGTTACAAGGAGGCAGAGTCAGAGAAAGAGAGAGAGAGAGAGATCTTCAATCTTCTGGTTCACTCCCTAAATGGCTACTATGGCCAGAGCTGGGCTGATCTGAAGCAAGGAGCCAGGAGCTTCTTTCAGGTCTCCCACAAATGTACAGGGGCCCAAGGACTTGGGCCATCTTCTACTACTTTCCCAGACCATAGCAGAGAATTGGATCAGAAGTGGGGCAGCAAGGTCTTGAACCTGCACGCATATGGGATGCCATCACTGTAGGTGATGGCTTTACTTGCTGTGCCACAGCACAAGCCCCACATGTTTATCCTTGAGCTTCTTAACTTTTGCTAGTATCTATCTAATCTCATGTATTAAAATGCTATCCAAGGGCTATTACTGTTGTAGTAGTCTAAGCCACTGTCTACAGTGCCAGCATCCCATATGGGCACCAGTTGGAGACCCAGCTGCTCTTCTACCAAACCAGCTTTCTGTTATGGCCTTAGAAAGCAGTAGAAGATGGTTTAGTGATTGGGCCCCTGCACCCATAGGCAGACCTGGAAGAAGCTCCTATCTCATGGCTTCAGATTGGCACAGCTCCAGCCATTATGCCCATCCCAGGAGTGAACCATCAGATAAAAGACCTCTCTCTCTCTCTCTCTCTCTCTCTCCCCCCTGCCTCTGCCTCTCTGTAACTCTGCCTTTCCAATAAATACATCTTTAAAAAAAGTGTCACTCATATAAGAAATTACCAGAGTTTGTGACTCTGCTGACCTTCAAAAACAAATCCAGCTGTGGATCTGCTGACTTCCCTTAAATGACCTACAGATAGCTCACACATAGCATGTACCAAAGAGTACTCTAGATATTCGTCATCCTACTTAATTGCAATCCCATCTTTCCTTTTTCTTCATATTTGAGTTGGTACTATCTTGACTCTTTCTCTCACATCTCACATTCAATTAACCAAGAGATATTCTTGATTAATCCTAAAAGTGTATCCATAATTCTCATCACATCTACTTCTAATCTGGGCTTTACAGTCCAACCATAGACTCACATGGAGGAGAGCCATAACTTCCTAGCAAAGCTCTTTGCTTTTGTCTTATCATCCATTCCAATTTCTCTTCTCAATAAAGCAGGTACTTCAATTACTAAAAACCATATCCTGTCACTCCTATAATGAAAACTTACCAATGGTGCTGCATATCCTGAGCCACAAGAACACAATCCTTACAATCATGTTAAAGGCACTGTTTCCTTTCTAGAAGGTGTCACTTGACACCTTTCTGGCCATGCTCAGTCATTTCTGTTCTTCAAAGATAATAACATGATTTAGCCAGAGGTCTTGGCTCTATCTGTCCCTGCGGCCTGGACCACTCATCCTCTAATATCTGTGCAACTAACTCCCTCAGCTCCTTCAATCTCTTCCTCAAAAACAAACAAAAAGACCAATTACTAACCATGTTACATAAGTTTGCAACTCACAACACTTTCCTCAGCTCAGCTCATTAAATCCTATATCCTATTATAATTTTCATCTTATCTATTAACACATATATTTTCCTAACATACTAAATATTTTGCTTAAGCCTGCCTATTAAACCTTTATTTATTTCCCATCATTTTCATTTAGTGTCTCCTTCTTCTTATTAGTATGTTTAAAGAAACAACAACAACAAAACCACCTCCATGGCGTTTTTTTTTTTTTTTTTTTTGTCTTGTTCAACAATATTCCCAACAGCCTAGCACTGTGCTTAGCAGCATAGACTCAAAAACTAATATCTGAGTAATAAGAATTAATAGAATAAAATATGCAAACTCCATGTAGGTGCTTGAAAAAAACTAGCTTGGAATTTCAATAATCCCGATGATTGGAAATGTGTAGATTTACTACAGGAGCATGTGATAACAGAGTTCCTTGTTTACAAAGCAGCAAAGAAATAAAATGGACTCACCCTGACAGGTGGAATCATGGATAAATTTTGCAGTTCAGGATCTCCATTCTAGTCCAAGTATCTGGTTGCCATGGAACCTCAGCTCACTGAGAATGCAGGCCAATAAAAAAAAATTAAGCTTGGAAACTGACTCTAAAATTCTCTTAAAATGGCACAACTGCTTTTATCATGGTTAACCGCATTTTACTCTTAAAAGTTTTAAAATTAAATATTGATCACAAAGTTAAACAAATCCTTAGTAGTGATAATACTGTTTTAAGGAATAATCTTCCTGTATTTTATATTTTAATTTTATTTAACTTTTAAGAGGCTTTTCATTATTGCAGCAACAGATAAGTGTATAATTTAATTTTTAAATATCCAATAAGTAATTGTTTTACTTTCATAATTTAAACCTGAAATTCTGAAAGATTTACAAAAATATTAAACATATAAAAAACTTAAATCTACCAAGACAAAAGTTTAAATTGAGATTTCCAAAAATTATTTTTGAATGAGGGAATTTTGTTTTTAATTTTGGGGGAGGATTTCAATACAATACACATTAAAACAAGGTTCAACTATATTAAATATATATTGCATTATTCTGTAAGACTTCCTTGAGTCTAATCATTAAATATATATTGAGTTTACCAAGAATATAATGAGATGTTGTTAAGCATTAAAGTTTACTGATCAAGTAGAGTCTTAGATATTCATATTTGAAGATTAATAAATGAAATATCAATATAAAATAAAGTTGGTATGTTACTAATATTTAAGTACATTTTAGCTGAAAATTTTTAGAGGCTCACATTAATATACATGAGTTCACAAAATGTTGATGAAGTTTGCTTCTTTGACTAGCAAGAGGAATACTTCGACAAAACATTGTTTATGGACATTTTTTCTGTCATATCATCCTTTCTCCTGCCTCCAGACATCACCTTCCACATAAAAGATGGGCTATTAAATCCTGTTATAGGCACTGCTTGGTGGGAAAGGAAATGTTAGGCCGGTCATCAAGGTTCTCTCAAGAAGCTGACATCCACTCCCAGCCCTGCAGCAGGCGCAGTGAATGATTTTACTCGTGTACCTGACAGGGCCAAAATGGATTGAGAAACAATGGCTTTCACATATAAAACATCAGGTCATGAAGATGGTGATACCTAAAGACAATAAAGTGAGCTGCACAGTTTCCTAGTTTACTAACCAAACAGTATTCAGGACCCAACACAGAGAATGACTCAGATAGAGCGTGAAGGTGAGGATGAGTTGAGAAGTTGTATCTGGAAGTTCAGCAATGCTGAGACAAATGGGATTCTCAGGGATGCCTATTATAAATAAGGGCACTGCACAGAGAGAGCTAGAGATACTGCAGAGAATCCCTCTTGAGACTTCACCTAATCAATATATTTGGTGACAAAACAACCAAAGAGAAAAAAAATGCACAAAAAAAGTTAGGGATAAATCATTCTCATAGCTCACAAAATATGAAGAATTCCTGTTCCCAAAAACCTAGATGGAAAATCTAACATGTAAAAGTTAAGTATGAATGTTTCTAATACCAAGATCATGCTACTTTTGTCAGACCCAGGCAAAGTATAAAGGTTATGAAAGAAGAGGGAAGAGAGTGTGCTTGCAAGTTTGAGATAAGAACTAACACAAGGACTTCCTAAAACCCCCCAAGAAAGTCCTATATGTCCTATATTCATTTCATACCTATTTTCCTTTCATTCCTTGCTCATGCTGCACCTCTGCACGTATTACTATAACAATGTTTATCACAAGAAATTCTAGGCTGTGGAAGTTCAGACAAGATGTTTGCCTAGCGAGACTTTTCTCTACCAATGGGCTCATGCCAGTTCCTGCAATGAGCTTCTGAACTCTTGAACTTTGGTTCAGAGCAGCTTACAGGAACCTCCCCTCTTTGCCTTTAACAGCTTTCCTTCCCCTTACCTCGTCCTCTTCAGTTATACCTAAAACTTGTCATAGCCTGATTTGCAAGTCCCTTGTTTGTTATTTAGATTGACACAGGCTTTATGGACATAGGGGTCATTACTCATTAATAAGGAAGGTTAGCAGTAGAGAAAATGTTGCTCAGGCATACTAACAAACAGCATTCAACTAAGAAAATCACAGTGTCTGACATCACAGACTACAAAGAATGGTTCCAAGGAAGTAGGAAAATATGACCCATCGTGAAAACGAAAATACATGGAGATGAATACAGCAATGATACATTTCATAGGGTTAGTAGACAAAAGAATTAAAAACTTGAGTCACACTCCACTGCCGTCTCAGACCATTAGCAAAAAGCGGGATGGGAAGAGGAGCAGCCGGAATGTGAACTGGAATCCATATGAGATGCTGGTGCTGCAGGCAGAGGCTGAGTCCACTACACCACAGCGCCGACCCCTTCTTTTTTAATATTGAAAAATTCTTGTTTTTAATATAGGAACTTATCATTATGAACTTCCCTCTTAGTGCTGTTTTTCTTGCATCCATAGGTTTTGGTATATTGTAATTTTGTTTTTGTAGCAAGCTAATGTTTTGAACTCACTTTTTAATTTCTTTTTTGATTCAATGGTTGCTCAAGAGTGTGTTGACTTTCATATATTTGTGAATTCTCCTGTTTTCTTGCTATCAACAATGATTCTTGGTTTCATTCCATTGTTGTCAGCTGGCTGTTTATTGATTTCCTGTCTGGATGTTTTATCCATTATTGAACATAAGATATTGGAGTACACTACTCTTATTGCATTGTTTTAAATTTCTGTCTTCTGATTTGTTAGCATTTGCTTCTCATATTTAGGTGCTCTGATCTTGAGTGCTTACAAAGTTATAATTGTTATAGTTTTCTGTTACATTGGTCCTTTTATCACGACATAATGAACTGTTTTCTGTAACTCTTTAGAGTTAAAATATATTTTGTTTGATGTAAGTTTAGCCACTCCTGCTTTCTTTAGGCTGTCATTTATAGAGAATATTTTCCATTCTTTTACTTTGAACTCATGTGTATGTTAGTCCATTTTATGTTGCTATACCAAATACCTGAAGCTCTTATTTTACATATTTTGTGTTTTATACATGTTTTCTTTATAGGAAGCCTGAGACTTGTAAAACTATCTTGTTTCACATTATAAAAATTAAATTTTAATGGCTTATAAAACTGCCTATTGTCAGATTTTCACTTTTTTTATGCTGTATGTATAAACAAAGTTTGACAATCTGCCTTTTAAAATAGAGTTAAATGTCACAATTGCAGTGATCCCTTAATCTGTATGAGCCTTCATTTAACTAACCAGAGAGATTTGTGCTTTCACAAATTTTTGCTTTGCTGTTCAGTGTATTTGTGCTTCAATTTGAAGAATGCCTTAGACATTTCAGGTAACACTACCCCTAAAACATTTAAAGGCAAATTGAAGAACTCATGATGACATACTAGGCAATTTGATGAAACCTATACTTTAAGATGTATTGGGTTATCATATTCAGTATGTGTTGGAAGACTTAGAGTCTAGGAATAAGAAAAGGAATAAAGGCCAAATGCATCGACTCAAATCAAAGTGATTGAATGCCAAGACAAGGACATTTAGAGGAAAAGAAAAAGAAAATTACATTTAATAAAAGGCCGTAAAGGCAACAGAGATTGAATATATAATTTATTAGGAGTAATAAAAAAGAAAAAGACTAACATGTATCTGAATTTTCTAGCCTGAAACACTTACATAAGGTGCTGTTTTTAATAAGAATGGAGAAAACTTTAATAATAACCTATTAGTCCTCTGTGGTTGCTGGAATCTCTCATCTCATGTGAAAATTTAATTGATTCATAATGAAGAACATATGAAGGGAATTATAAACAAATTCAAAAATATGTCTTTGAAAGGAATTTCATGGAAGCTTCAAAAGAGATGTATTTATTGTGATGAGAGATGATGAGATTGAATTGGCCCCTCTTACAGTATTGAAATTAAGTCTATCTAATTTATCCAATCAAGTTCATGTCCTGATTTTATGTATTTGTGTCTGTAAACATTGTGATACTTGAAAAAAAGGAAATTTATTTATTGAAACGTTTACAGATATAATTTACATATAAAAAATGTATCATATTTTAGATACACAGCTCAATGAGTTTTTCAGAACATAGAGCTGCATAATTGCCAATGAAATGGAAATATAGATCATCTTCATTCCTCACAAAGTTCCTTTGTACCATTTTATAACCAACCTCTTTACCCCACATTTAGCCGTTAGTAACATAATTCTGTTTTCGATTTTTTTCTAAAGTGTCATATAAATGATGTACTACTTCATGTAGTTGTGTGCCTATCTATCTTTTCTTTACATTAACATTTTTATTTCCACTAATTTTGAACAGCATCCATGTTATATGTGTATTAGTATTTTTTCTTTGCTTGTACTATATGAATATACTACAATTTGCTTATGTATTCATCAGCTAATGGATGTTAAGGATGTTACCAATTTTTATGAACGAAAGTACTACAAAAATCCATGAATAAGGCTTGATACGCAAACATATATGTATTACTTTAGAGTAAATAACTAGAAGTGAGATTGCTGGATCAGATGCTAAAGACATACAAAACTTCCATGTCTAAAGTGCGAAATATTTCACAGACTTAATTCTGAAACATAAAACTTACAGAAGATAGAAAGCAATCTTTATGACTTTAAGATGGGCAAACACTTCTTACATAGAAAAGGAAAAGAATAAACTATAAAAATTTATTAAGTGGAGTCAATAAATATAAAATTCCTGGTCTTTGAAGTAGACAATTAAGAAAATTAAAAGGTAAGCCACGGACTAAAAAATAAATGTTTTCAAATTACAAATCTGAAAAAAGCTGTTTATCCAGATTATTTATTGGAACAATAAGAAGACAAACCAATAAGACTTCAGCAAAATATTTGAATAAATACCAGAGAAAATATGCAAATGGAAAATAAAAATAAGGAAAAGGTAATCAACATTAGCAGGATGAGAGAATTCAAGTTGAAACCATCATGAAATGTCACTGGACACCTGTAAAGGCCTAATTTCTTAAAAATTTTCAAAGTACAAATAAAGATAAAG